GACATTCTTCGCATTTGGCAATCATTTGGTGACATAAGATAGCATTCAATACATGGTATTCAACGGCAAAGCGATCATCATTTCAATGGGACTCACGATTTGAAGCCCACATTCAATAACCGATCGATCGATCGATACATTCAATAATTTTGAAACACATTTTGAAAATTGAAAATTTGTTTTTTATTTTACAAAACTATTTATTGACGAAAGAAATGCTATGTTTTTTGGACGTCAATTCAGTTCATGTATGAAATGAATGATCAAATAAATACATTGAAACCAAATGATGAGTAGAGACGAGTGTTTTCGAGGCAAACATCACATCGAAATGCAAACTCTTTTCAAACGGTATTCAAAACGCGAGAAATTAATTGTCAAAACATTGAGAAAAAACACGTCAACCAAAAGCAGAGCAATGTTTTCATCACAAACCCATCGCCAGTGTATTGTTGTTCACACTTTGTTGTAGACATTATGGCCGGCATTTCAGTGGCAAACGTCTACAAACTCTACTCTGTATTGCAGTCTCTCGTCAATAGATTACGCAAAGCATAACACAAACAATCGATAATAACATCACTTTTGATGCAATAATGCATTGATTGGCGAAACAAATGACAATTCACTTCATTATAGAGTCTAACAAATGAGTGATTATTTGAATATTTTATAAGCTTTTTGTAATACAAATAAAAGTGTAATTAATATTTAATGTGTGTTTATCTGTGAATTGATATGTATTTGAATTAAAATCAAACATTGATTGCGAATCTGATCCCAAAGACAAGAAGTGATGGCTAATAATGTGGTCTCCATTTCAGACAATAAAACCCAAAAGCCTTCGAGTAATTGATTTTAATTATCTGTTTGTTTGTAATTATAATTAACTTTTTACACACAATTAGTGCTAATTTTACTGTCGATTTACAGTTAAAAGCGTTTGTAATATATTTTGCAATTTATTTTAGCGTTAAATGAGTTTAAATCTCTATAGCAATGATTATAAGCTTTTGATTTTGTAATACAGATTGTAATTTACAGTGAATTACATGTTTGTTATGAAATTTAGGCTTAATTTCTATTTCCTATTCAATTGTGAAAATTATGATAAAAATATATATTTATTTAATTTATACCTAATTTGTTGATAATGTTTAGACACAAGCGATGATAAGATTTGTTGAATATTTGTGTTGTTTTGTTGAAAATCATAGTTTCATTGAATACATGATTAACTAAATATTCAAATGTTTATAATTATGAGCACAAACTGATTGAGTAAACCCTCTCATACTTAACACCATTAGTGAATATTTTGAAACTATTACTACTTTTGAATGCATTTAATTTTAATCTATGTAATCAATTAGTTAATCAAACGCTTAACCCTGAAATAAATGACCAATTTATGTAGATTGTCAGCACAATGCCCATGCACATTTTACCACACACTAAACATTGCTTAACGAATAAATTAATTATGAGTTTATTAATACTAACGTAAATACAGTACAGTATGTAATATTGATTATAAGGTATGGTTTAGGCCTTTATATATTAATAAGTGGTGTATTTAATAATGAATGACATGTTTGTATTGATGGACAGGCAGTGCATTTAAGCAGCAGAAGCTGCCCTCGTGGTCACCGATCCTAACGGTGGGCACAGTTTTGCCCACATTTTTCCTCATCGGTGTTGCATTCATTCCCATTGGAATCGGTTTATTAGTCTCTTCTAATCAGGTATTGGTATCGATTGGTTGATGTATTGACACTAATCTAATGTCTTCAACAAACGGAATGATAGGTACAAGAGTTTGAATTGAATTACACGGCGTGTAAGCAATTTGCGAACGGAACCGATGGGCCCAAGAAGTGCTCGGAAGTGATCGCAAATCACCCGGAAATTGAGTGCAAATGTCGCGTCAATTTCACTTTGGAAGAGAATTTCCGGCGAGAAGTATACCTTTACTACGGTTTGACTAATTTCTACCAAAACCACAGACGATATGTTAAGTCGAGAGACGATCGGCAACTGTTAGGCGAGATTAAAGGGTCGACTGAATGCCAGCCCTTTCATAAGAGAGACGGCAAATGGATCGCTCCGTGCGGTGCCATCGCTAACAGTCTTTTCAACGACACATTTCTTGTGCAACGGCTGACAGACAACGGATTCAAAACAATACCCATAATGGAAACGGGTATCGCGTGGGCCACAGACGTGAACGCAAAGTTCAGAAATCCAAAGTTACCCGAAGGAGAGAAGAACCTGTCGAAGGCGTTTGAGGGCACTGTAGAGCCGCCGAATTGGCAAAACCCTGTGTGGAGATTGGCTGGTAATGACAACGACCAGAACAATGGCTATCAAAATGAACGGTTCATAGTATGGATGCGAACGGCAGCGTTGCCCACATTTCGCAAAATCTTTGGTCGTTTCCGTCATGAGATCAATGAAGAGAACGCTGACTATCATTCCTATTTACCCAAAGGCCGTTATCAGCTCATTGTCACATATGGTGCGTCCGAGAGCTTTACTCTCCATTCCTCTCTCATATACCACTCGTACTCATAATTGTTTTGAAATGTGTAGCGTTTCCGGTGGCGGACTTTAAAGGGACCAAACGTTTCATTATTTCCAATACTTCATGGCTCGGAGGAAAGAATCCGTTCATTGGTGTCATGTATATCATTGTTGGCTGTGTTTGTCTACTATTATCAGGAATTTTTGTTTTTATTCATAAAAAGTTTGGAAAAAGGTATAAAGAATTTGATTTGATTTTTATAGTCAATAAAATTAATATATTTTTCTATTTTTATTCTAAAATATTTAGTACGAGTGAAATATTAAACGTAACGCAGAGAACGCCATACATTGGTTAACATTCATGGATAGTCATCGATAGTCATACTCTAATATGAATTATACAGAATATTTAAAGCACTATTTTTTATTATTAATTTATTGTTAAGTTTTAACTATTGTTATAATAATCTCAATACTATATGATTAGTCCTCAAAGTCATGCTATCATCGCATTCCACACTTTGGTCTTTAACTGCTGTGATTTGCCTTCAATTTCTATACAATCTTATTCTGAATTAAACATTTTTTTATTATTTTCATTTTTACTATAATTAACCTTGCTTAAAAATGCCATTTGTATTAAGCGTACGAATCGATAGCACAACCAAATAGTGAATTCTGTGAAATAACACTTCATAGAAAAGTTATACAAAATAATGTTTTTATGCCATTATTTTGCAGTAAATAATAGATGAAGTGATCGACAAGTGATCGACATTTTAGGTGAAAAGAATAAACCCTTCAATGCCTTTATAATGGGTTTCTATTCCTAAATAAACGGATTCTCGAGTCACCAAATAGTGAGAAATATCAATAATATTCACATATTTGTAACTATTGTCAAACTAGATTCTATACATTCAAAACAATATTCTCATATTCTGTTCATTTATGCCCATTTGTAGTGATTTTATTTGTAAATTTTGCAAAACATGAATAAAATGAATATATTTCTCCACTAATGCCTCGAATTGTTTGATACAATAAATCAAATGTATTATTAAATAGTAATATTGATTTGTGAGCTCATGTTTGAACTGCAAGAATGTGTTCACACATTGGTTGAGATGAGAGAAAAGATACACTAATTGCTAGATTAAGTGATACATTGTTTGCATTAATCAATTAAAACTTAAATTATTGTCTAATGTGATCATATGATTGAGTCATTTGTACGCCTATTCAATGTATTGGACGCTATGTCTCACAGACTCTTCATTGATGACAAGGCTATGGATTGAAGGCTATTGTCATCAGTGATGAGCGTTCATCACATCTCCCAATACTGTACCGATTATTACACTATTATTATCCATATGTATGCAAAACGCACAGACAGTACAGTTTGGCGTCGATTATTGTAGAATGTTTGCACACAAATAGGGTCAAAGTGTCAGTATATTGCCACTTAACAACCTCTACCAATATGTATCATATCAAACAATGAGTACAAAGATGCTCTGTCAGAGTCTGGCATGCAGTGCACATTATGCATATGAATGCAATGTACAAGTTATGAAAGCCTCAATAATAGTGTTTTTGGGTATACTATATAGCTATTTACAAACAACCCGAATGTACGTCAAGTCTGTGCATAACATTTGGGTTGTTTGTAAATATACTGCATATCCCAAAACGCTATGATTGAGGCTTTCATATTGTGGACAATTGTAATGCTTAAGCCAAATACAAATGCATCTTTTATTTTGACGTCACGGATGTTAAAATACATTGTTGGCAGTGTTACTGATGGCTAAAGCGTCTTATATTCGGCAATTCACGAATAAAGGGGTTACCCACTTGTTATAGGGAAAACGCCACAAATGGAATTTTACATGATTTTTTTAATTAGCCAAATTAAATATTAAAATAGATTTTTCATAAATAATGTACAATAATTACCTTATTAATAAATAGCGTATACAATTGTTAGCAAATTTCATATATCTTTTAGGGAGGGGGGGCCTGACGATCCTATAAACCATATTATTTATACTGAATTGTGGTTAAAAATAGATCCGAATTGACAAATTCTTTCAGGATTTTATTCCTTTCGTCCAGACCTTTCTAATGATATACATGTATATACAATATATACAATGTATAATATCTTAGCCTTATTTATTAAATAAAAAATTTTAATTTTCCCGATAAAAGTGGTCACTGCGGCCAAACCCGATGTCGTCTGGCCATATGAAGTATATCATGCGAATCCTTAGGGAATGTAATTTTTTTTACTGATATTTACAGGGTGCACCTGGAATTCTATGTTATGCTTAATGTTAATTTTAAAAATTTACGTTTGCAAAATTGTCGCTTAATGTTATCCTATGGGTACTGTTAATCCTATGGTAATAATGTTAAGTCTATGGCTAATTATATTCCTATGAACTAATGCTAAGTATATAGACAAAGTTAATCTTATGGGATAAATTATCCATAATTAAATATTAAATTTTTTAAAACTCCGGGAAATTAGAGGAAAACTACGGAAAAATAAAGTGCGATAGGGTAATGGATAACAGAGAAAATGTTTTTTAATAATTATGATTATTTTAGCATTAATTATGGCTAAATTGTTTCAAAAGTATAAAAATTCTATAACTGATCTTATTAAACATGGTCAATGACTTTTATAAAGTTTTTATAGATAACAAAGAATTTGTTATGAAGTCGAAAAGACTAAACTTGAAACAAAACAAACAGTGTTTATGAATGCAATTACGATGACATCAATCAATCAAATCATTATTTTATGTCGTATTCAAATATAATTCATATTTAAATGATTAAAATACATAATTATTATGAGTAGTGAGAATTGAATTGACATTGTTTTGAGTGCCGAAAAATCTACGCTTTAGTTATTGTTAGGTTGAGAAGAAGATGGCGTCGAGTGTATAGAAGTAGTGCACGAAATGTCAATTGTGTATAACATGTCTCGCAATGAAGTATTGACTAAATGTATCGATACATCCATTGATCGCATTCTGCAGTAAATGTTTGTTTTGTTATGTTTTGATTGTTTTGATTGAAATCACATTCAATGCAGTTTTGGCCAAACAATGAGTGCACCGATGATTGCGAACAACACTGCACTGCGAGTGGTGTGTAATGAGTGACAGTGTCTGCAGTCTGTGGCACATGTGGTGATGTTGGCCATGGATGATGTGGGCCGATGTCTACTCGATGTCATCGACGACCCACAGCTCTTGCAGTCCTTCCTCGAGAACACCAACGGAGCCATCGGTCGCGAGAATCTCCACAACAGTCTACACAACAATCCCAACCATAAGAGCATCGCTTCTGTGAAACCAATTGACCCCAAATTGGCGGCCAATATATCCATTGCCACACAATTCTCGGACACCAAACAAGTGGATCACGTGACCAGTTCTGGGGGCAACCGCTCTCCGCTCCAGAGCATCAATAAACCCACTTCTGGTCAGTTAGTGATCGATGAGAAGCAGACAATAAATATGGTGTCGTCTTCGGTCGGATTGATTCCAGTGAGTGCTCTGTCCAACGCCGTGACCGCCACTTCGCTATCCATAGCACAGCCAACGCTCACCGCTTACACGACCACTGCATCCGTGGGACAGATGTCCACTACAATGAGGACTTCAGCCCAGGGTTGGCCTCCGACTCAGTTTCAATTAGCCAACCCTCGCGGCGGCGGCGCTCTGACTGTACAAATGCCGCAACAATTTCTACTACCACCCGGTGCTATGCAAATGACAGGACCCGGTGGTATACAGCAACTCGTGCTGACCCGTCCCGGTGTACCGCACGGGGGAATACCCCCCGGCATACAACCGGGACAATTGGTCCAAATAATACAGACTCCTTCGGGGCCGCAGATACTGCCCACGAATCCGACGGCAACCGTACAATCAATTGTGAGTACAAGTGTTACAACAAAGTCATCGTCGACCACATCGTCGTCGCGTTCTAACAAACAAATACTACCCAAACCTCCCGGTTCTTCGGTGTCGGCCACTAATGCCGTCACCACTAATAGTAACAATAAATGTCAACAAATGACACAACAAAACACGTTAAAAGTGATCAATAGTTTGCCGAACGCGCCTCAGTTCGCGTCCGCGCAGATACCGACGAGCGGTGCGGCCGGACATCAAACACAACAGATACTGATCGGTCCGGGAGGCCATCCCGTGATCTCCGGACCTCAGGGCACGTTCCTATTGAATCACATGATACCCGGCATCGGTGGCCAACCCATACTCATCAATGGGAATCTCGGGAACGGAATTCCCAACTCTTTTCAGTTGACTCTCAGACCAAACACATCGCACGGCTCTTCAATGATGACAATGTCTAACGGACTGACGGCTCCCCTCATGTCTGCGTCCGAAAACAACACCAATATATTGAACGCATTGAATGCAAACGTCGCGAAACAGACGCCAACACAATCACCACAGCCTCAGACTTTTGTGATACCAAACCACTCGACCGCTGTCTCGAGCGCTGCCCCGGGAATGGTTGTGACGAATGCGGGCCGACCCGCGCCTAATATAATCTTTACGCGACCGCAAATGATGGGCGCGCCTCAAAGTCAGCCTCAGGGCCAACAGTTTCTACAATTGCAAACACCAAACGGTCCTATTTTAGTGGCACTACAAACACAACCCCAACTCATACCGCAACAGCAGGCGTCCGCCTCACAGCCCACTCATGGCATCCAATTGGGTAATCACATGATACCGATAGGGGCGCAGCACATGTCCTCACAATTAGCACCTAATCTGAACGCAAGTATTCAAACAGCGGCCGCACATCCGGCACTTCACGCACTTCTAACCCATACGGATAACACGAGCGGCCAAACAGTAATACAGACTTCTGTGCCATCAGTGGTGACCTCCAACACACACGTGATACTGACATCGCAGCCCCAAATCATAACTCGTCCACAACTACAACAGTCGCAGAGCCAACAGTTGAAGCACTCTTCGGCGCCATCTCTTAATTTGGCGGAATTGCTTAAAGAGCACGGAATCCTTCCCGAGTCGAGCCCTCCCTCATCGCCCACTAATAACTCACTCACAGACATAACTACAGGTGCTATACATTCGGAACTGATTCATCCGACACAACAATCACACCAAACGGTTCTAATGGTTCCGAGTGGTCCCAACCAACCGCCCAATATTGTCTTAACTCAAAACCCAGTGCAAGCGACAGCTCCGCCCCAACTGAGACTAGCGTTAGGTCCCGACGGAAGTGTTATACTTCAGCCACACATCACTACAAACACTAATGGTTTAGTTCCACAAATTCAGTCACAATTCATCTCGAATTCAAATAATTTGAAATTCAATGAATCGTTGAAAGACTCGAGTGGTTTGGGTTCATCACAACCATCGCCGGACTCGACCACTCCTAGCATCGACTCCACCTCTACTTCATCCACAAACGCAACGCTCAGCCAAACGACCACCACTTCTACGACAACAACTCCGTCAGCGATTGGTCAGAACACGAGCACTACATCGACGTCCGCCTTATTGGATCAGTTGAATACAGGGCCGGCCGTTAAAGTCCCTGATATAGTGGCATCTCTAGCCCTCACTCATCACTCTTCGACGGGTCCGGCCGTTACCGAAGAGTCAAAACCTATTCAATCACAAACAGCTTTAATACCATTAACTGTTCAAAACATAAACAATAGTTTAGAGCAACAAAAGCAGACAATTCTTACAATTCCTGTACAGAGCGGTGACAATAATGTTGTTCAAAACGGATCCAATGGTTCTTCCAATGCTGTGATCAGAATCGGTAGCTGTGATACAATTCCCACGTCTTTAGTGTTGACCACAACACCAACCACTGTGTTCGCTAGTCCTCCTCCCAAGACCCTCACCACCGGTCCCATAGCGCCCATCCCTACTGTCCTCTCGAGCAGCACCGGCACTGTTAGTGTCACCGGAACCACCACTACAGTCATCGACCACAACGGAGTGCCTATGATTCAAGTGAGTCCTAATAATCAGGAATTCCTACAACGACTCGACACACAACTCAAGAACCTATTATTGCTTAAGTCGCCGACCAATCAGCAAAAGGAGCTCTTACAGGAACTCTTGTCTTTGCAGCAAAAGTTGAATGTCGCCCGAAGTAAGAACACTTCCGATGACCAGAAGCTTATACTCACCACCGCTTCGACCATCAATATATCGCCGCAAACACAACAGGCGTTGCAGTCGTCGCCAAACAATCAAATGTCTATCGATTCCCAATCGCAACAGCAAACGCCACAAAACGTGCATTTAATGAATCTACTTAAGCAAACTCCTGTCAACCAGTCCTCCGCCTCACAGATCCGTCTCCTGACACCCGCCAGTGCGGCGCCGGTCAACGGCACGGCCACTATTCAGGTCGGCAATCAACTCATCACTTTCACCACTCCTGTCAAACAACAGCTCCAAAACCTAAAATCCATTCAGACTTCCAATCAAACAATTAGCAAAGTATGCGTTTATATTCATCTATTAATTATTTTCAAACCATTTATTAATTCAATGCTTTTTTGCATTATAGCCACAATTATCAGCGCCGACTCCCACAGTCATACTCCGATACCATACGCCAACGCCGACCACTTCCTCCACTTTAGTGACCACTTCGACCACAACTAAGCCATCAATTATTAAAAACGACACACAAGACAAAGAGAGAAGAAATGCCAAAATATTAAAATCGTACGATTTTTAAATGTTTATTTAGAAAGTTATGAAATTAATTTTGTGATCATTTTGTTTAGTATTCAACAACAACTGAATGTCGACCAAAACGCAGCCCTAAAGCCGGACACCAAAAAACCATTCAATTCTCGGGACGACGCCTGTAAACGATTGCTTCGATACCATGTCTTTAATGCTCCCGTTATGAGCACTTCAGATATGGACAAAAGTAAAACTCATAAAATTTTATGTTTGAATATTGTTTTGATTGAGAATATGTTTTTCAATAAACAGGCGATCGATTGTTTGAAATGGTTTCACAGCATTTGTTACATAAGAAACAGCAGTTATTTGATAAATTCAGGGTTTTGTTACTCAAGCAAAGTATGGTAAGTGTCGCTCATTTTTTCTATTGCTTTCTATTCGCTTGACATTTAGTTTCACTTTTGTATTAAATTTAATTTATAGAAAGAGACGCCTTCTTCGGAACACGTGATGATTGACAGAATGTTTATAAACGAAGAAATGAGTTCTTTGAAAGCCGATAGAGAGACAGTCGCCGAAGGAAAATGTATTATAAAATGAATTGTCATTTGAAGTATATGTGTATTAATGTTTTGGACATTTCTTAGCCCTAAACCTTCCTCCGGCGCCTCAGTCTTGGTGTCAAATGATTCGCTCGTCTATAGAAGAAGATGAGAAATTATCTATAAATAGGAAACGAAAGTCTTCGATAGGAAGCGATGATGAATATAATCATCAAAATAGTCAAATGAGAAGACATGAAGAACCGGTTGAAGAGTCGGAGGAATCCGACGACGAAGACGATGACAGCGACGACGAAGAGAACGACGATAAGGACGACACGATATCAAACTTTTTGCAGTCAACGTCTGAAACGAATTTAGGAAACCTTGAAAATATTGGCCATTATTATGGCAACTATCAGAACAATCTCCACATCCAAAATGGATCACAACTCGAGAGTCAAAGTCACGTGCCTTTAAGTGGTTTTGTCGACACAACTCAACAGCACAATGAGCTCGACATCTACTCTGACATTAATGAAGACAATTGCGCTCAAGACTGGACTGATTCCATACTTAACAACAATTCTGCCAATAGAAGGATTGCGTGGAATCATAGGTTCGGAGTCCCCGAAAGCGAAGCGGCCGTCGCTGTCGAGTCCATACTCAATGATGACGACGACGACGACGAGCCCGACATGTCTGTCGACTTGTCAGGCATTGAAGGTCTCGACGACAACCTCGAAGTCGACAACGAAGAAGAAGAAGACGACGACGAAGAAGACGATGACGACGACGACGATGAAGAGGAGGAAGAAGAAGACGATGATGAGGATGTAGTGGATGGCTATGGAATGGGGGGTGAGTCCCATCAACTCCAACAACATGTCGACGTTCAGATGCAGTGCGCGATTAAAAGCATTTTGGATATGCCTTCAGTTGGCCAACAGTCGCATCCGTCACACAACTCATACGCCTTTCACACTCACAACACACATACCTCTCACCAATCAATGCATCCACACATTAACGATTACCGAAACCTGGATTACCCGCACATACCAAGCATTCACGACCAGAGGCGCAACGACGCTATGATGCGGCCCTACAGTCAACACTCGGCCGGTGTTAACGATCCCATTCTCGACGAAGCCGTCAAAAGTATTCTCTCCTGAGAACTACTATTGAAGCAAAACTATTACGGAAGTACTTATTGTCACCAAAACTCGTTGATTAGCATCTCATTGATAATGTTTTCATTCGATGCTATCTATCGGTCATTATTTTTTTATAAGAAAAATTTTCTTCATTTCTCTTCGCTTTTCATTCATTAGGCGATGAATTCAATCACTAATTCATTGGATTTATTGACCAAAAAACATATACAAAATATATAATATATTTTAGAAATTGAATCGAAGCTCTAAATTGGTTTGACTTCAGAGCAAATCTGGTTTTAATTGTTTATTTGTTTTGTTTACTCAAACACATTAATGCTTGCGATTTAGTGCCTCTAATCCTCTAAATCTATTCAATTTGATGAGGAATTCCATTGAATTATATATAAATCAATCGTTTTTAATGTTATATAAGAATTAATTTTAAAGTTTTATTCATAACATTATTTAAAGTATAATTTTCTTTCTACAAATCATTTAAATTAAATTTTAAGTACAAATTATTTTAATTTCACATTAATTTCTAGTTTATTTTGAGTTCATTTGTTTTATGTAAAGTCCTGTTAAATATATATACACTATATTTGGTTGAAGTGATGGTCAGACCCAAGAATGTGACCGGAAATACCTCTAGAATGTAACATAATGTTCAAAATGTGTACAGTTTTTCCCATTTATTATGCGTTAGAAGTAATGTTAGAATTGAGACAATTTAGTCGTTTTGACCATCACTTCGTTGGCGTCTAAACTCTGAAGTTAACATTTTAGAGCTTTTATTCAAAATGTACTGTTTTTTAAATATATTAGTTTTCGATATACATATATATTATAAATATATATATAAACAGTATATTATTTTATTCTATAAATTATGTTCAAACAAAAAATTAATTTAATTTAAAAAATAACATTTATTTTCACACAATTCGCACATTTAATTAATTTTAGAAAAATTGTTTTGTTTAAACATTTCTGTGATTCGTATTGTAATAAATTGTATTTAAAATCATATGTAAGTTAAGAAATGAAGACATTCTTGTCGTTATGTACTGTAAAATTGATTTTTTAAAATTCTAATAATTGATGATAAAAATGAAGTTTTCATAAATTAATGTTTAATTTGTTATTTGCCATAATTTTCAGTGCAATTGTGATGTTTATTCATACGTAAGACTAATGAAGCGCATAAAACCATAACTTTGTTGTCTACAATTTCAGTTCATCCAAACTACACATTCAATTCAATTATATTACAATTATATTGTAATATTAAGTATTTTTCAATTATCAAAACCTAATGTACATTTACATTGTGTTTACATTTCTTCTCCGACCCATTTGTGCACATTTTAAAGCCATACAAATGAGTGTTCATTTCCATTATGTTTTATATTACAGAATATTGAGTGAAGTAAAAGGAAAGTAAATTCTTATTCAATCGATAAAATGTTTGAGAGAATGGACTCTCGCAGCGCTTCTCTTATCGTTTAGTTTAAAAATAAACATATAGTGAGAGAAAGTGTGTGAATGCGATGACATTGACAATGAAAATTGGAGACACAGAATATTCTGCAAAATGTACGAAACGAACGTTGAAATGGCATTCACTTTAATAAATATGAAATATTTTGTATTTCATTAATTATATAATGATATTCAACATATTATTTAGTTATAAAGTATTTTTATTACTAATCGGAATCAATTATATGATAATAGAAGTGCAAAGTTTGTCCATTCTTTGCAAACCTTATCACAAGAATATTCAAGAATGTGTTTACGGCTCGCATTGCAATCGGAAGACAGGGTATTGTGAATGCATTGGAAACTATCCGTTAGAAGTGCCGCAACTGAACGGTTGTCTGAGGACAGAAAATTTGGGTCAACACTGCGTTCATTCAAAACAATGTGAACACACTTTGAATGCCATTTGTGTGGACAAGGATTCCGTTGAGTTGAATAAAGTGGAGTTAATCGGCAATCAATTGTTGAGAAAATACTACAGAAGACAGCGCCAAGTCTTCGATAGAATCGGCGAAAAGTACGGATCAGCCGATGGATACAAATCGATGGGAAGGTGTCAGTGCAGAGCCGGTCATTGGATCAAAACCAAGGGTTCGCTCATAACCTGCGAAAAACAACGATTGTTAAATTCGGATTGCATCGGTTCGCATACATGTCTCGTTTTGGTACTTATATACTAATTGAGTTATAATTGGTTTATTAATTGTCTTATTTGTGGTCTTAATTCTTGTAGGATTCTAACTCTCACTGCGACGCTCTGAGGGGTCACTGTATTTGTGACGCGGGCTATGGCTATGACACCGATCGAAATCAAT